TATATATATATATGTGTGTGTGTGTGTGTTAATATGTTAAATGAGTTTCATGTCCATCCAACACCAAGAATGCAGCATGCCGGCATTTTTAAATTTGTTAGTCTTTAAAAATTTGGAAATATTTTGGATAGAGAATACATTCATTACTTTCATTCCAATTGTAATATTAGATGGATTGTCTTCATTTCCATATGTGCGTTATTTTCTTGTTTTTTTTAAATGATCGAGTATATAATTAATTAATCACCTATTTTCGAATTATATGATAATGGTGTTTTTATAGAACCGATGCAGGGGGGTGTATATGTGCCATGTGAGCGTATACGCCCATTATTGGGAATAATCTTCATCTTTATCTTTAATAAACTTTTTTTTCAAAATTTAGCTGTTTGCACATGCATGCATGAATGATGCATCTGTGGCCGAACTGTTTCACGGATTTGGTTCCGGCCTTATCCTTGAAACTAACCCTAACTAATAAGTTCCTAATTAACTCAACGATAATTAATATATATATATATATATAGTGAATGCGACATGGTATGATAGTGAATGCGACACTGCTTGAATCTAAGACAAATGACTGTCATTTGAATCTTTCGAAATTTCAGAACAGCAATTAGCATAACTGTGTAACTGTTATAATTTGTTAATTGCAGAACATTACAGCAGTTAACATGGCCCCCTTTTTTTTCCTTTAATTTGGGCTCAACCATAAAAGTTGGTTTATTAACAATTAACTAATATAACCACACAAATTTAGAAAATTTAATCGGTGAAACGTAAAAACACAGAGGTTTGTTCTGTTCCGAATTCGAATTCCAAATTTAAAAAAGGGATTTCACTCATATTTTTTGAACTTTGGAATTAGTTAATTTAGACCTTAGTTTAGCTTAGGATATCCAATTATAAAAAAACTAACATGACATATAAAATTTTTATAGATATGTTATTTTGATGTTTTTCTTTTACAACACTTAATGGATTCAGTCGATGATAAAATAATTATGATATGGTGGGGCCCCACAAGGTTTATGGATATGCTTGTTGGAAGAGGCAAGCTATAGCATGCTCTGCTTAGTTATTTAAAAAAAAATACGATTTAAATATCAATAAGTAACGACACGCCTGTGGATCATAGTGCATATTATAATATTCGATTTAAATGCAATTATTCGAAATTATGTTGGCACTAATGGAAAAATCGGACAGCTTGAGTTCCATTGCTTCACAAATGCTTAATATATTCCTCCGGTCTGTTCTTAAATCATTAATTAAGGTGACAATATAATATATAATAACTTTGTAACTGTATATTAATGAGATTAAAGTTCTAAATTGACTGGACATAAGAATCGTAACCATGGTGGTACACATCGTATTTCTACGATCTACTAGCTACATTTAGTATATTTATCATAAAAATATATCTTTGAATATCTATAAAACGAGAAAAAAAAAAAAAGACTAAAACTTATGTTTGATGTTAATAGCACGGTGACAAAAGGAGAATGTCGAAAATTTCTTTTAATAATAATAATAATAATAATAATAATCCGGTAGCGATAAGAAATTAAGAATATTATATCAATTGATATGATCAGATCATTATAAGGTAAAAATAAATATCATCTATTTTTTTTTATAATCCATAAATTTATAGTATTTTTAAGATTAAAAAATCCATATAAATGTTTCTTACGAAATAAAAATTCGAATTTGAATTGAATTTTTTTTTACCTTAACGGTTGAACCATCCAATTCAACCAATATTGGATAAAGGTATCATCTTTGGCAAAGGTCATGAATCATTTGAGGAGGATGCTAATATATGACAATATAATTGATGAGCTTATTTTTCTAAATGATCGTATTGTGTCGTGGGGAAAAAAATGAACATCTTTGTGAATCCAGCCTCCTAATCGATCATACGTAGTACGCCTTGGAATCACATACACACTCCTTCCAACCAAAATGTATAATTCCGGAAACATCAATTTCAAGAAATTTTTGTCCGAAACTCCCCAGAACCCACCGAACCAAACAGAAGGCTTTGACCCTACTTCGCATTGACATCGAGCTTCATCTCCTGAAGGTTGAGCAACAGATCGTCCGAGCTTAGGTACACCTTGTTGGCGGAGTTAGCAATGGTCTGTGCTATTTCTCTCGCTGCCTCGATCTTCCTCAGCGTTATGAACGCTGGGTTGTTGGCTATTGCTTGACCTATCAGCTGAGCACTCTTTGCTTCTCCCTACACATCCCCCACAACATCATCATCCCTCCGATTCTACCGAAAAATCTACTTTTATGATGATCCTTGAAAGTTCGAGATTTATTCTCACCTCGGCACGGATAATAGCACTTTTCTTGTCCTGTTCAGCCTTTTCCACGATGAACTTAGCCCTCTCGGCCTCTTGAGCAGCCACCTGCTTTGCTTCAATCGCAGCTGTGAACTCTTTCCCACAGGTCAGG